GGCTCCCCGCCCCCGAAGGCTGCCCCGGAGCCGGGTGGTCGGGCACCGCAGGAAGTAGGGCGGTGGGGGACAGAGATGTAAGGACCGTGCCGAAGAGCCAGGTGTCCGCGGGGAAGCAGCAAAGGGGAGGCGCCAAGCTGGCTTCCGAACCGGCAGGAGCCCTCCACAAAGGAGCTCTGCGGCAGCTCTCCGGCACCCTGCTCTGTGCGCCCGCGCGCGCGCGCACCCCCAAATGTGCACCAGGCCATCCTCTGCCCACACACGTGTTTCTCCCTGGAGCACTAGGCAGCGCTTGGGTGGATGGTCCCAGCCCGCGAAGGAGCTTCCAAAGGTCAGCTCCTCTCTCGGCTCGGGCCGGCCAACCTGTAAGTTTACTTTTTTTTAAATTCTCAGTGGTGACTATAACAGGAACCTTTTCGTTATAGGAACAGACGGTGTCTGGGAAAGGCTCCGCACTGGAGGAAACGGGAGAACAGCTTAATCGCATATTTTTCAAAGTGACTAGTAATGCCCGGCAATGGGAAAGGAGTCCAAGAAAACCTATCCGGGCCAACCGGCTGATGGGAAGCCAGCTGCAGGGGTGGGGTGGCGCCCTCGGTGGGGATGAAGTCATCGCTACCTTTGCCTAGGTGAGCCCAGATAACGCTTTTTCAGCAGCTTGATGGCCTCACCTCTCCACCTTGGGTCTCTGCCCCTGAACTCCAGGACAGAATATACGATCTACGTGTGGATAGAAAAGAGAATTGATGCTCAACCACACAAAACAAAACAAAACAAAACAAAACAAAACATCCCCAAAACAAAATCCATCCCAGCCAACAGCCCATTTCTTAGCAGTTAACCAGGCTTACACTAACTATGAAGAGAAATCGATCCAACTAAGACCACAGAAAATCTCCAGGAGTAGGAAATGTAATAAAACAGAGAGACAGGGGGAGTTAATATTAATCCTAAAGGAACACTGACTATTGAGGCAAAAGTCAAAAGTCTTTTATGTCAGCCTCCTCAGATGAGGCACCCACTGCACACTTCCCACTCCTCAAGCCCCCCTCCCGGGGCCCCCCCCACAAACCCCATACTGAGTGTGTGCTAAAATCAGTCACTTTTTTAAGAGGTCAAGTCCACTGACCCGTCCTCAGCCAGCGTTCCTTTGATCTCCCTGCAGCACCCTGGCCTGCAGGCCTCCTCTCTGCCTCTCTGGCCTCCTCTGCTGACCCGTCTCATCCTTTGAGGACAGTAACTGGATTCTTCCAACCCTTTCTCTCCCATTATCCCATGGCATTGCTTCTGACTTCAACCTGGCTGGGTCCAGGTTTTGTGGGGCCTGAAGCTTGTGTAACTCTTGAGGGAACTTTTTAAAGAAAAACAGTTTTAAAAAATGCTTACAAACTCAACACTAGATTAGATATGTGTCCAGGGAAAGTGAGGGCATGAAAACTTGAGCCCCGAGGCAAATCCACTTCCGATTTCACCTCTATGTCAGGGACTCTTGAATCTGTTGTCCCTATAATATCTCAAATCCAAATTCAGAGTCAAAAACCAACTCATCTTTCTCTCGAAACTAGAACTCTTCCTGCCCACATCCCATACTTCAGACCTGATTTTTCAAATTAAAAAACCCAGCTTTCCTCTGGTTCCTTTTCTCTTCTAAATTCCTGATATCCAAGTATTTGCCAAAGTTGTGATCTTTCTCAAGTAATATCTCTTACATTTATACTTTATATCCACTGCCACCACACCAGCCCCCATTAGAAGGGGAAACTGATATTTACGTGCTGTTGGCCTTTTGTCAAGCATCACCTTTGGTTCTCACAACAATCCTAGAAACCCTACATTCTGTTTTCTAGCTTAGAGAAATCAAACTGGACTCCTGCATCCACTATTTCAGCTTTCTTTCTCCTGTTCTCCCCGACTCTGCTGTCAGATCCATGTTTTCATCCCATTACCTACCTGTTCAAAACCTTCTATAGGTTCACATATGTGCCTTCAGGGAAAAGAGGCAGTCTTCAGTCAGACACTCA